CGACAAGCGGAACAACAGGTAGAACGACAAGCGGAACAACAGGTAGAACGACAAGCGGAACAACAAGTAGAACGACAAGCGGAACAACAGGTAGAACGACAAGCGGAACAACAAGTAGAACGACAAGCGGAACCGGCGTGCAGAAACACTTTGTGTAAACCTTATTTGGGTCAAAGTCTTCTCAGCAGCACTCAGCAGAACCAGCAGGAAAATCTGCTAGCGTGTTCTGACCCGGTGGAAGTCCAGTTCTGGCTCTGTCCCCTTTCAGCTGCTCGGAGGCGGGACCTGCCTAAAGGACTTGTTGTAAGTCAGCCACGGTGGCCGCAGACGCTGGAAGCTTTTGCTGTGAGGAGCCCCTTCAAACTTTCCCTGAAGGTGCTGCTGCCCCATAGAGTCGGCCTTCTACGTAGGTCTGGGTCCTTCTCCGGGCTCCCTCAGGTGCGTCGCGGTAGTTTACCTGGCGTCACCGCGCTGCTCATGCTCATTACCCTGACCCCCCGACCTTTCGCTGCTCACTGAAGAGTCACTTTAATCAGCAAACTGAGTCAGCTGTTCATCAACAATCAGAGTATAAAACAAAGACCAGAGCAGCTCTGTGGACAGGTGTCACACCTGTACTGCAGTACTACCTATACTGCTGCAGTACTACCTGCAGTACTACCTATACTGCTGCAGTATACCTATACTGCTGCAGTACTACTATACTGCTGCAGTATACCTGCAGTACTACCTATACTGCTGCTGTACTACCGCAGTATTACCTATACTATAGTACTACCTATACTGCAGCGGAACTACCTATACTGCAGTAGTACCTATACTACAGTCCTACCTATACTGCAGCAGTCCTACCTATACTGCAGCATACTGCAGCAGTACTACCTATACTGCAGTAGTACATATACTGCAGTAGTACTACCTTTACTGCAGCATACTGCAGCAGTACTACCTATACTACAGTCCTACCTATACTACAGTCCTACCTATACTGCAGCATACTGCAGCAGTACTACCTATACTGCAGTAGTACATATACTGCAGTAGTACTACTATACTGCAGTACTACCTATACTGCAGTAGTACGTATACTGCAGTCCTACCTATACTGCAGTAGTACGTATACTGCAGTAGTACGTATACTGCAGTCCTACCTATACTGCAGTAGTACGTATACTGCAGTCCTACCTATACTGCAGTAGTACGTATACTGCAGTAGTACCTATACTGCAGCAGTCCTACCTATACTGCAGCAGTAATACCTATACTGCAGCAGTACGTATACTGCAGTAGTACGTATACTGCAGTAGTACGTATACTGCAGTAGTACCTATACTACAGTCCTACCTATACTGCAGCAGTCCTACCTATACTGCAGTAGTACGTATACTGCAGTAGTACGTATACTGCAGTAGTACGTATACTGCAGTCCTACGTATACTGCAGTCCTACGTATACTGCAGAAGTACGTATACTGCAGCAGTCCCATCTATACTGCAGCAGTACTACCTATACTGCAGTAGTACTACCTATACTGCAGTAGTACGTATACTGTAGTACATATACTGCAGTAGTACGTATACTGTAGTACATATACTGCAGTAGTACATATACTGCAGTAGTACGTATACTGCAGTAGTACGTATACTGTAGTACGTATACTGCAGTAGTACGTATACTGCAGCAGTACTACCTATACTGCAGTAGTACTACCTATACTGCAGTAGTAGTACATATACTGCAGTAGTACGTATACTGTAGTAGTACATATACTGCAGTAGTACGTATACTGCAGTAGTACATATACTGCAGTAGTACGTATACTGTAGTAGTACATATACTGCAGTAGTACTACCTATACTGCAGTAGTACTACCTATACTGCAGTAGTACTACCTATACTGCAGTAGTACATATACTGCAGTAGTACGTATACTGTAGTAGTACATATACTGCAGTAGTACGTATACTGCAGTAGTACATATACTGCAGTAGTACGTATACTGCAGTAGTACATATACTGCAGTAGTACGTATAGAGGGTATGCGCGTGACGTGACGCAGTTCCGCTCACTGAGCAGCCTGAATCAGCTGCTGGTTCTTTGGGGAGCGGTGAAGGTCGCTCACCGCTTGCTAAACGCAGCCATGGTAACAGATGTTTGGCCGCTCAGTCCAGCGTGTTCCGGAAGGGGAAGTGACATCAATAATACTGCGGTACGCAGGAAGTACCAGGAAGTACCAGGAAGTCTGCACGCTGTTCTTACTCAGCGTCGGCCTCACTTTCATCATCTGACCCAGACAGGAAGTGACCTCGCTGCTGATGTGGCTGCCCGCTCCAGGTCACGGGTCGCTGAGCGCCGCCGCAACTTTAAGAGCGAAAGAAGAAGTCAGCTTCCTGTTGGTCTGAGTCAGCGTCTCAGAGGGATTCTGGGTCAGAAAAGCCATCTACTTCAGGTCAGACCAGAATGGAGCGTACAGAGAGACAGACAGGTGAGAGACAGGTGAGAGACAGAGAGACAGACAGGTGAGAGACAGAGAGACAGACCGGTGAGAGACAGACAGGTGAGAGACAGAGAGACAGACAGGTGAGAGACAGAGAGACAGACAGAGAGACAGACCGGTGAGAGACAGAGAGACAGACCGGTGAGAGACAGACAGGTGAGAGACAGAGAGACAGACCGGTGAGAGACAGAGAGACAGACAGGTGAGAGACAGACAGGTGAGAGACAGAGAGACAGACAGGTGAGAGACAGACCGGTGAGAGACAGAGAGACAGACCGGTGAGAGACAGACAGGTGAGAGACAGACAGGTGAGAGACAGAGAGACAGACAGGTGAGAGGCAGACAGGTGAGAGACAGAGAGACAGACAGGTGAGAGACAGACCGATGAGAGACAGACAGGTGACAGACAGACCGGTGAGAGACAGAGAGAGAGACAGACCGGTGAGAGACAGACCGGTGAGAGACAGAGAGACAGACCGGTGAGAGACAGAGAGAGAGACAGAGAGACAGACCGGTGAGACAGAGAGACAGACCGGTGAGAGACAGACCGGTGAGAGACAGAGAGACAGACCGGTGAGAGACAGAGAGACAGACAGGTGAGAGACAGACCGGTGAGAGACAGAGAGAGAGACAGAGAGACAGACCGGTGAGAGACAGAGAGAGAGACAGAGAGACAGATCGGTGAGAGACAGACAGACAGGTGAGAGACAGACAGGTGAGAGACAGACAGACCGGTGAGAGACAGAGAGACAGACCGGTGAGAGACAGAGAGACAGACCGGTGAGAGACAGAGAGAGAGACAGAGAGACAGACCGGTGAGAGACAGACCGGTGAGACAGACCGGTGAGAGACAGAGAGAGAGACAGAGAGACAGATCGGTGAGAGGCAGACAGACAGACAGGTGAGAGGCAGACAGACAGACCGGTGAGAGGCAGAGAGACAGACCAGTGAGAGGCAGACAGACAGACCGGTGAGAGGCAGAGAGACAGACCGGTGAGAGGCAGAGAGACAGACCGGTGAGAGGCAGACAGACAGACCGGTGAGAGACAGAGAGACAGACCAGTGAGAGGCAGACAGACGACCGGTGAGAGGCAGAGAGACAGACAGGTGAGAGGCAGACAGACAGACCGGTGAGAGACAGAGAGACAGACCAGTGAGAGGCAGACAGACAGACCGGTGAGAGACAGAGAGACAGACAGGTGAGAGACAGAGAGACAGACCGGTGAGAGGCAGACAGGTGAGAGACAGACCAGTGAGAGGCAGACAGACAGACAGGTGAGAGACAGAGAGACAGACCGGTGAGAGACAGACCGGTGAGAGATAGACAGACAGACAGGTGAGAGACAGAGAGACAGACCAGTGAGAGGCAGACAGACAGACAGGTGAGAGGCAGACAGACAGACAGGTGAGAGACAGAGAGACAGACCGGTGAGAGCAGACAGGTGAGAGACAGACCAGTGAGAGGCAGACAGACAGACAGGTGAGAGACAGAGAGACAGACCGGTGAGAGACAGACCGGTGAGAGATAGACAGGTGAGAGACAGACCGGTGAGAGACAGAGAGACAGAGAGGTGAGAGACAGAGAGACAGAGAGGTGAGAGACAGACCGGTGAGAGACAGAGACAGACCGGTGAGAGACAGAGAGACAGACAGAGAGACAGACAGGTGAGAGACAGAGAGACAGACAGGTGACAGACAGAGAGACAGGGGAGAGACAGAGAGACAGACAGGTGACAGACAGAGAGACAGACAGAGAGACAGACAGACAGAGAGACAGACAGAGAGACAGACCGGTGAGAGACAGAGAGACGGGGAGAGAAAGAGAGACAGACAGGTGACAGACAGAGAGACAGACCGGTGAGAGACAGAGAGACGGGGGAGAGACAGAGAGACAGACAGGTGACAGACAGAGAGACAGACAGGGCTGCAAGGCAGGTAGCAAGGAAACTAAAATTGTCCCAACAGGAAGCCAGACAGAACTACCAAAATAAGACGCAGATTGCAAAGAAAATAACACGTCCAAACAGGAAGCCAGACAGAACTACCAAAATAAGACGCAGATAGCAAAGACAGTGTGTACTACATACTACTCTGTACAGCGTGTACTACATATTACTTCTGTACAGCGTGTACAGCGTGTACTACATATTACTTCTGTACAGCGTGTACAGCGTGTACTACATATTACTTCCGTACAGCGTGTAAAGCGTGTACTACTACACTGCTTCACCATTTTATACTGACCTGAATATAAAATCAATTCAAATTCGTTAGAAACATTTAATACTTCAGTTTCCCCACAATACAATACATTTACCTGGTAGTACTTTATAAAGTATCATTGATGCTTTATAATTAATTCAGTTTATTTATTTAATGTTTTCTGTTTGCAGGCTGAACTGGATGAGTCCGCTGTGAAAAGCCGGATATAAACATATATACAGAATATCTGTTTATTCCCGTTACTCTGTCTCCCCTGAACGCACCTGTCCCGGTCTCTTACCTCCGGAACGGCTTCCCCATGCTCCCCTCCTCTCCCGGGCCCTGCCGGCCGCCCGCTGCGGGCCCCGCTGCTCCGCTGCCGGGGCGCTGCTTCAGGTCCGGGACGCTGTCCAGCAGAGTGCCGGTGGTCCCGCTGTCACGCTCCGCGGTCGGTGTCCGCTTTCTCATCACTGGAAACGGTAAAGAGAGCGGTGTTAGCCGGAGGAGAGGAGCCGGTACCGGGCCTGTCGGCGGGGAGGAGGCCGTTGGCGCACCGGGAGATGCGGCGGTGAGAGCCGGTGAGGACGCAGCCGAGTCCCCGCTGTGCTGGAGCTCTCTGCCGCACTGAGCTCCGCAGAGCCGACGAGCAGCAGCCAATCACAGCGCAGAGGCGCGACCACGTGGCCGCACCGTGACGCCTCCACGGCCCCTGGGGAGCGTCAGAGCAACGACCACCAAAACAAACAGGTTCATGATAGAAAATCTAAATAACAAGTGAACTGGAGCGTGGTGCCTTCAAGTGCAGCTCGTAAACTTCTGTAAGAAACCAAAGGTTATAAAACAGGCCGAGCTCTCAACCAACACAGAGCAGGAACAGGTACTCAGTACGATCCCGTCCAGGACCAGAGGTGGAACAAGTACTTATTAAGTAAAAGTAGAAATACCACAAGGTGTTTTTAGACACATATACTTACTAGAGAGGAGGTTTTCAACCTAGTACATCTGCAAAGCACAGAACCCGGCAGACAAGTACAGTATAAAGCAGTCTTAGTACTCACGTAAAGTACAAGTACACAAACTTACAGAGTACAACAGAGTGAGCGTACAGACGGCGCCCCGCAGACACAAACACAAAACTTTTATGACGAACGTGAACTTGTAGACCTGATCCACTTCCGACAGGGGACCCTGAGACACAAAAACCAGGACCTGTAGGTCTGGTCCAGACCTGCTGAACCGGTTCTGCTGAAGCACAAAGACGTTTTTGTTCCCCCGCCCACCTGCAGGATTCCACCTGTCACCTTCAGGTCAACCAATATTCAGAGAGCAGGACGTAAACACGCCGATATCAGACCTGAGCTGGGTCCTGAAGGGTCCAACGTTCTCTTAGGAGCAGAACTTCATTACTCCTCACTTATCTAAAAACACAAAGGCTGTGTTCAGAACACAGATCTGAGGTCAGTCCGGAGAGACGCGGCTCACTACAGTGTAGTAGTACTGCATACGGAGACAGTACTGCAGGATTACAGTACTGCTGGTGGACTGTACTCCTGCTTGTGCAATATTTGTACACTGTACACTTGAAGACGTGTCCACAGTATGTCAAAATAAAAGCATGCTGTTCTTTGTGCGTTTTACATACAACGGTACGTAGTAGTACTGCAGTACACAGTGAAACACTGTCCATGCAGACAGGTGTGATTATCAGCGGTTCACAAATGCTGCACGTCTTCTCTGTACAGCAGCCGTGTACTTTACTGCAGTAGAAGTACTAATACCACCACTACAACTTAAAGTCCTGCATTCAAACCTTACTGCAGTAAAAGTACTCATGTTGCAGTAAAGTGTTTTCTCTGTTGTATCTGATGTTCCTTGATGTGAGGTACCTGAAGCCATCACACAGGTGCGGTGCAGTAAACGTATTTACACTCTATTAAATACTTCATACCTGAAGTAAAACTGAGTAAATGTACTTAGTTAAACTTGACCTGCTGGCTGCAGCAGGAGGGGAACTCAACATTCCCGAGCCCCTGAACACAACGCGTCCAGCTTGTGCTGCTCTGCCGTGTTTGGCTCCAGATCACTTCTGTGTCCTGTTTGTTCTTTTTGTTAGTGTTGAGCTGAAAACACAAACCGGAAGCAGATATTTACCATTTCAGAGCCACAAATCGCCCAGGTTACTTGAACGCAGCGTGAAGTGAGCAGCGAATATCCGCTCAGACGAAGAACAAACTTCTTCTCCGTACTTCAGTATCAAGGCTCGTGTCGGTACCGGGGCTCGTGCCGGTACCGGGGCTCGTGTCGGTACCCGGGCTCGTGCCGGCTCCGGTTTCTGCCGGACGGTTTATTTTTAACCGGCTGAGCTGTTCGCTAACCGGAAGTCGGAATCCGGGCCAGGAACGGGGCCGTAACAGCGACAAAGTGCGCGTTTCCGGTGACGAACATCAACGTAAATAAAACACGCGCTCACCTCTCAGCCTGGCGGGAAACAGCAGCCTCACAACATGGCGGCGTCTTTAATCAACCGTTAAAGGTGATCGACCGGCTGCTCGCGCCACTGATTTGACGTTTGTCCCAACTCGGCACCCGGAGCGCTACGTCATCCTGTCACGTGATCACAACACGAAGACCGGATTTTGCCGCGAAACCGGGCCGAGCTGTGCGGCGCGAGCGGAGGAGTTTCCCGGTTGAAGTCGGATCAGAGGGTCGGTTCTCGGTTCTCCGGGATGTTCTGCGAGAAGGCCGTGGAGCTGATCCGCGAGCTGCACCGGATGAGCGACGGACAGCTGCCCGCCTTTAACGTGAGTGACCGCCGGTAACGGACCGGCTTTGCTGTGTGAAGTCTTTATGATCCGATGAGGGTCAGAAGGAAACAAGGCAGCGGGTTCTGATTCATCTAGATTTAAAAGAACACTTCCACAGTGCTTCTTTCCTTTGTTACCTTTAGAAAACTATCATTACTGTAATATGGGGTAAGAATTCTTACAAAAACATGTCAACACTTTCATCACAAAAAGTTATTTGATCAAAGCAATTCTGACACAAGTTGATAAACGTTTTTAGTCATTTAAAATGAGCTGTTGATAAAATCTAATTGTGTCGCATTTTGCTGCTTCTTTCGATTCGCACGCCAAACCCGCAAACCAGAATCCTGAATCGGTCAGTACGGCGGGCTGGCGAGGCTTCACACGTCATCAACACAAGCCTCGATACGGACGGACACATCGATATCGTTTACCGAGCCCGGTGTGATGACTGTGAACCGTGTCCCGTAGCCAGCCGATGTAAAGCTGGACACTGTATGGTGAAGGACCGTGTTCCGCCTGGACAGGCTGCGGCCTCAGCCTGGTGCACGGACCGTCTCAGCAAACTCATTCTGACTGATGTTCATCTTGTCCTTAGTCACAGTAAGGGTCTCCGGTTCTCTGTGGACCCCGTTAACACGCGGAGAGAGTTTGTTTTGTTCTTTAGTCACAGTAAGGGTCTCCGGTTCTCTGTGGACCCCGTTAACACGCGAGAGAGTTTGTTTTGTTCTTTAGTCACAGTAAGGGTCTCCGGTTCTCTGTGGACCCCGTTAACACGCGGAGAGAGTTTGTTGTGTTCTTTAGTCACAGTAAGGGTCTCCGGTTCTCTGTGGACCCCGTTAACACGGAGAGTTTGTTTTGTTCTTTAGTCACAGTAAGGGTCTCCGGTTCTCTGTGGACCCCGTTAACACGTGGAGAGAGTTTGTTTTGTTCTTTAGTCACAGTAAGGGTCTCCGGTTCTCTGTGGACCCCGTTAACACGCGGAGAGAGTTTGTTTTGTTCTTTAGTCACAGTAAGGGTCTCCGGTTCTCTGTGGACCCCGTTAACACGGAGAGAGAGTTTGTTTTGTTCTTTAGTCACAGTAAGGGTCTCCGGTTCTCTGTGGACCCCGTTAACACGCGGAGAGAGTGTTTTGTTCTTTAGTCACAGTAAGGGTCTCCGGTTCTCTGTGGACCCCGTTAACACGCGGAGAGAGTGTTTGTTCTTTAGTCACAGTAAGGGTCTCCGGTTCTCTGTGGACCCCGTTAACACGCGGAGAGAGTTTGTTGTGTTCTTTAGTCACAGTAAGGGTCTCCGGTTCTCTGTGGACCCCGTTAACACGCGGAGAGAGTTTGTTGTGTTCTTTAGTCACAGTAAGGGTCTCCGGTTCTCTGTGGACCCCGTTAACACGTGGAGAGAGTTTGTTTTGTTCTTTAGTTACAGTAAGGGTCGCCGGTTCTCTGTGGACCCCGTTAACACGCAGAGAGTTTGTTTTGTTCTTTAGTCACAGTAAGGGTCTCCGGTTCTCTGTGGACCCCGTTAACACGGAGAGTTTGTTTTGTTCTTTAGTCACAGTAAGGGTCTCCGGTTCTCTGTGGACCCCGTTAACACGCGGAGAGAGTTTGTTTTGTTCTTTAGTCACAGTAAGGGTCTCCGGTTCTCTGTGGACCCCGTTAACACGCAGAGAGTTTGTTTTGTTCTTTAGTCACAGTAAGGGTCTCCGGTTCTCTGTGGACCCCGTTAACACGCGGAGAGAGTTTGTTTTGTTCTTTAGTCACAGTAAGGGTCTCCGGTTCTCTGTGGACCCCGTTAACACGGAGAGTTTGTTGTGTTCTTTAGTCACAGTAAGGGTCTCCGGTTCTCTGTGGACCCCGTTAACACGGAGAGTTTGTTTTGTTCTTTAGTCACAGTAAGGGTCTCCGGTTCTCTGTGGACCCCGTTAACACGCAGAGAGTTTGTTTTGTTCTTTAGTCACAGTAAGGGTCTCCGGTTCTCTGTGGACCCCGTTAACACGCGGAGAGAGTTTGTTTTGTTCTTTAGTCACAGTAAGGGTCTCCGGTTCTCTGTGGACCCCGTTAACACGGAGAGTTTGTTGTGTTCTTTAGTCACAGTAAGGGTCTCCGGTTCTCTGTGGACCCCGTTAACACGGAGAGTTTGTTGTGTTCTTTAGTCACAGTAAGGGTCTCCGGTTCTCTGTGGACCCCGTTAACACGCGGTGAGAGTTTGTTGTGTTCTTTAGTCACAGTAAGGGTCTCCGGTTCTCTGTGGACCCCGTTAACACACGGAGAGAGTTTGTTTTGTTCTTTAGTCACAGTAAGGGTCTCCGGTTCTCTGTGGACCCCGTTAACACGCGGTGAGAGTTTGTTGTGTTCTTTAGTCACAGTAAGGGTCTCCGGTTCTCTGTGGACCCCGTTAACACACGGAGAGAGTTTGTTGTGTTCTTTAGTCACAGTAAGGGTCTCCGGTTCTCTGTGGACCCCGTTAACACACGGAGAGAGTGTTTTGTTCTTTAGTCACAGTTTATGTTCAGTCCCAGCTCATTGTTGGTGCATGGGGGGGGGGGGGGGACTGGTCTGATTCTTTGTCTACATTAATTTATTCTTTCACCAAATCTTCTGTAATTACAAATGCCTGTTTCCCTTCTGTAAGAAAGAACACGTCTAAACCGGCCGTGGCACAAATCAGACCGACAACATGAACATTTGGACGGTTTATTGACGTTTTGCAAACTGCATTCAGCAGCATGTATCTACATGACAACACATTACGGAGATAAATAAAGTTATCGGAACGTATTTCCTGCTTTGCAGTCAGTGCATCCTGTTGCCTGCGACACATCTGGGACTTTCGCCAGTTAATTCAGCCACCAGTTAAACTGTCACACCGGTACTAGGTCGGTACGTTAGAGTCATGACAAGTCAGCGTAAAACTGGCAGAATTTTAAACGGAGTTCGGTTTCAGAACACTTTGAGGCCCTGAACCATCAGTAGGACCGGAGACTTCAGGTTCTGGAGAACCCAGCTGAACCCGGGTCAGTCTGGTTGTATAACATGTGTGTGGTTTCAGGAGGACGGACTCCGGCAGGTTCTGCAGGAGATGGAAGCCCTTTATGAACAGAACCAGACTGACGTGTGAGTGTTCTGTGTTTTACTTTGAAGGCTGGTTTTTGTCTAGTTTAGTGTAAACCTGTTGGGTTTGTGTTTAAATGGACTGTGTGTATATTTGATGTTTTTAATGTTTTTCTACTGAACCTGTTGAAGCCAAAGACAAGTTTCCAGAAATGGATAATTTCTTATACAACAAAGAACCACAACAGTTCATTTTCAATTAGTTTTTAGATTTTACTTTGACAGCTCTGTCTACCTCTCTCTGTTTCTACCTCTCTACGTCTCTCTACCTGTCTCTCTCTACCTCTCTACCCGTCTTTCTACCTGTCTCTCTACCTCTCTGTCTCTACCTCTGTCTCTACCTCTCTACCCGTCTTTCTACCTGTCTCTCTACCTCTCTGTCTCTACTTCTCTACCCGTCTTTCTACCTGTCTCTCTCTACCTGTCTGTCTCTCTGTCTGTCTCTCTACCTGTCTCTCTCTACCTCTCTGTCTCTACCTCTGTCTCTACCTCTCTACCCGTCTTTCTACCTGTCTCTCTACCTCTCTGTCTCTCTCTGTCTCTACTTCTCTACCCGTCTTTCTACCTGTCTCTATCTACCTGTCTGTCTCTCTGTCTGTCTCTCTACCTGTCTCTCTCTACCTCTCTGTCTCTACCTCTGTCTCTCTACCTCTCTGTCTCTACCTCTCTACCCGTCTTTCTACCTGTCTCTCTACCTCTCTCTCTCTACCTCTGTCTCTACCTCTCTACCCGTCTTTCTACCTGTCTCTCTACCTCTCTGTCTCTACCTCTCTGTCTCTACCTCTCTACCCGTCTTTCTACCTGTCTCTCTACCTCTCTGTCTCTACCTCTCTACCCGTCTTTCTACCTGTCTCTCTCTACCTGTCTGTCTCTCTACCTGTCTCTCTCTACCTCTCTACCCGTCTTTCTACCTGTCTCTCTCTACCTCTCTGTCTCTACCTGTCTCTACCTCTCTACCCGTCTTTCTACCTGTCTCTCTACCTCTGTCTCTACCTCTCTACCCGTCTTTCTACCTGTCTCTCTACCTCTGTCTCTACCTCTCTACCCGTCTTTCTACCTGTCTCTCTCTACCTCTCTACCCGTCTTTCTACCTGTCTCTCTACCTCTGTCTCCACCTCTGTCTCTACCTCTCTACCCGTCTTTCTACCTGTCTCTCTACCTCTCTACCCGTCTTTCTACCTGTCTCTCTCTACCTCTCTACCCGTCTTTCTACCTGTCTCTCTCTACCTCTCTGTCTCTACCTCTCTACCCGTCTTTCTACCTGTCTCTCTCTACCTGTCTGTCTCTCTACCTGTCTCTCTCTACCTCTCTGTCTCTACCTCTCTACCCGTCTTTCTACCTGTCTCTCTCTACCTCTCTGTCTCTACCTCTCTACCTGTATTTCTACCTGTCTCTCTCTACCTCTGTCTCTACCTCTCTACCCGTCTTTCTACCTGTCTCTCTCTACCTCTCTGTCTCTACCTCTGTCTCTACCTCTCTACCCGTCTTTCTACCTGTCTCTCTCTACCTCTCTACCCGTCTTTCTACCTGTCTCTCTCTACCTCTCTGTCTCTCTACCTGTCTCTCTCTACCTCTCTGTCTCTACCTCTCTACCTGTATTTCTACCTGTCTCTCTCTACCTCTCTGTCTCTACCTCTCTACCTGTCTTTCTACCTGTCTCTCTCTGCCTCTCTGTCTCTACCTCTCTACGTCTGTCTCTCTACCTGTCTCTACCTCTCTACCTGTCTTTCTACCTGTCTCTCTCTACCTCTCTGTTTCTACCTCTCTACGTCTGTCTCTCTACCTGTCTGTCTCTCAGGAACCAGGCGAAGACTGAGGGTCGCTCTGACCTGATTCCCTCCATTAAACTGCGTCACTGCTGCCTGCTGAGGAACCAGCGCTGCGTCACCGCCTACCTGTAACTACCTGTGACCATCTGTTCACCTGTACGTCATGTGACCGTCAGTCCTCTGTGTGATTGGTTGTTTAAAGACGCTCTTTGTCGTCCCCTCAGCTACGACCGGCTGCTGAGGATCCGGGCGCTGCGCTGGGAGTACGGCAGCGTGCTGCCCGCCAACGTCCGCTTCCACATGTGTGCCGAGGAGGTGAGTCTGAAAGCACTTCCTGTTCATTCACAGGCAAAGGTTACGTGATGGAGGCCACGCCCACTTCTTGGTTACTACATAACGTACTGCACGATACTTCAGTGTACATGTACACATCTGAAGACACACAGTGTGTACTTCAACCTGAACACTGTGTGGTGCGTTCAGGTGCAGTGGTTCAGTCAGTATAAGAAGTCCCTGGCGTCCTTCATGCGGTCTCTGGGTGGCGGCGAGGGTCTGGACATCACGCAGGACATGAAGCCTCCCAAGAGTCTGTACATCGAGGTGAGACCAGGTCCAGCCTGAGCCAGTACTTCTACTCAAGTACAAATATACTGCTACTTCAGTCTTTTTACTGCAGTACAGCAGGGGCGAGTACTGCTTTAATACTTTGAGTGCGGTCTCCTGTCCAGGTGAGGTGTTTAAAGGACCACGGAGAGTTTGAGATCGACGACGGGACGGTGATCCTGCTGAAGAAGAACAGTCAGGTCAGGAAGCTGCTTCTTCTTCTACTGCACCAAATACTGTAGTACTACAGCTCTCACTATGACCCTTGTGACACGGAGTACTTCATGTATCACATGCAGCTTCATGAATATTTAATGTTCGTAACGTCTCACTGAGCGTGCTCCAGTCTGCAGGTACAGGAAGTGGTCACCTTAACCCCCCCCTCTCTGTCCGCAGCACTTCCTGCCTCGCTGGAAATGTGAGCAGCTGATTCGTCAGGGCGTCCTGGAGCACGTCATGTCCTGATGGCGTCCGATCGCTGATCAATCGGGCAAAATGTTTGATCGTGTCGAGCTGTCGGAAGTCTTTATTCCTGCTGTCCCTGAACACAACGCTTTTATTCTGATGTCAAAATAAAGTTTGTTTCTCTAAAAGCTTCGTCTCATTCCTGCTGAGTACTTCATAAATACTACTGTAGTACTCTGAAATACCTGCCCAGTACTTCATAAATACCACTGTAGGACTCTGAAATACCTGCCCAGTACTTCATAAATACCACTGTAGTACTCTGAAATACCTGCCCAGTACTTCATAAATACCACTGTAGTACTCTGAAATACCTGCCCAGTACTTCATAAATACTACTGTAATACTCTGAAATACCTGCCCAGTACTTCATAAATACTACTGTAGTACTCTGAAATACCTGCCGAGTACTTCATAAATACTACTGTAATACTCTGAAATACCTGCCCAGTACGTCATAAATACTGCTGTAGTACTCTGAAATACCTGCCCAGTACGTCATAAATACTACTGTAGTACTCTGAAATACCTGCCCAGTACTTCATAAATACTACTGTAGGACTCTGAAATACCTGCCCAGTACTTCATAAATACTACTGTAGGACTCTGAAATACCTGCCCAGTACTTCATAAATACCACTGTAGTACTCTGAAATACCTGCCCAGTACTTCATAAATACCACTGTAGTACTCTGAAATACCTGCCCAGTACTTCATATATACCACTGTAGTACTCTGAAATACCTGCCCAGTACTTCATAAATACCACTGTAGTACTCTGAAATACCTGCCGAGTACTTCATAAATACCACTGTAGTACTCTGAAATACCTGCCGAGTACTTCATAAATACCACTGTAGTACTCTGAAATACCTGCCGAGTACTTCCTAAATACCACTGTAGTACTCTGCGACTCTGTATTTTACAGAGTATATACAGGAATCCAGCAGTAAAATTGACCTTTTCAGGACTTTTTCCAAGTCGTCGGTCCTGCTTCAACACTGAGAGGCAGCTGCACTGGAAAAGAACACAAGACAGCAGCACAAGTCTGACATGTGGCACAGCACACGGGCTGGAAGGATAACCGCCTCCACCGTACACGCCGTTGTCTCCGTAACCACACCGGCAGAGTCACCTGTGGAGAAGGCGTGCTGTCCACAAAAACCCTCGGCCCAGAAGAGGTCTCCTACGTCGCACATGAAGGTGGAACACTGGATTCATAATCAACCCTTCTTTCCCTGAAATAGGCGCGACTCCTGATGCTCTTGCGTGTTGCGGGAAAGGATGTGAGGAGATTAAATGTCCTTTTAAGCACCAGGACCGTAACATTCTGGAGTTTTGTCTGCAGTGCACAGAAGGAAGGATGGAGTTGATGGAGTTGATGGAGTTGATGGAGACCCACAAGTTCTACAAACAGCTACAAACTCAGATCTTTGTCACAGAGTCACGGTTCTGTGACTTAGTTGTTTGGACGACCAAAAGCCTTGCAACTGTGCGCGTCATGAGACTCGACCGCCACCCCCTGCGCCATCAGCCGATTCCAACATCGTCACTTTACAGCCAGGTAACACCCCCCAGCCCAAACAACACCGTCACTTTACAGCCAGGTAACACCCCCCAGCCCAAACAACACCGTCACTTTACAGCCAGGTAACACCCCCCAGGCCAAACAACGAGCACACAACACCGTCACTTTACAACCAGGTAACACCCGCAGCCCAAACAACACCGTCACTTTACAACCAGGTAACACCCCCCAGCCCAAACAACGAGCACACAACACCGTCACCTTACAGCCAGGTAACACCCCCCAGGCCAAACGACGAGCACACAACACCGTCACCTTACAGCCAGGTAACACCCCCCAGGCCAAACGACGAGCACACAACACCGTCACCTTACAGCCAGGTAACACCCCCCAGGCCAAACAACACCGTCACCTTACAGCCAGGTAACACCCCCCAGGCCAAACGACGAGCACACAACACCGTCACCTTACAGCCAGGTAACACCCCCCAGGCCAAACGACGAGCACACAACACCGTCACCTTACAGCCAGGTAACACCCCCAGCCCAAACAACACCGTCACCTTACAGCCAGGTAACACCCCCCAGGCCAAACGACGAGCACACAACACCGTCACCTTACAGCCAGGTAACACCCCCAGCCCAAACAACACCGTCACCTTACTGCCAGGTAACACCCCCCAGGCCAAACAACGAGCACACAACACCGTCACCTTAGAGCCAGGTAACACCCCCCAGCCCAAACGACGACCACACAACACCGTCACTTTACAACCAGGTAACACCCCCAGCCCAAACAACGAGCACACAACACCGTCACTTTACAGCCAGGTAACACCCCCCAGGCCAAACGACGACCACACAACACCGTCACCTTACAGCCAGGTAACACCCCCAGCCCAAACGACGAGCACACAACACCGTCACTTTACAACCAGGTAACACCCCCCAGCCCAAACGACGAGCACACAACACCGTCACTTTACAGCCAGGTAACACCCCCCAGGCCAAACGACGACCACACAACACCGTCACCTTACAGCCAGGTAACACCCCCCAGGCCAAACGACGACCACACAACACCGTCACTTTACAGCCAGGTAACACCCCCCAGGCCAAACGACGACCACACAACACCGTCACCTCACAGCCAGGTAACACCCCCCAGCCCAAACAACACCGTCACCTTACAGCCAGGTAACACCCCCCCAGGCAAAACGACGAGCACACAACACCGTCACCTTACAGCCAGGTAACACCCCCAGCCCAAACGACGAGCACACAACACCGTCACTTTACAGCCAGGTAACACCCCCCAGCCCAAACAACACCGTCACCTTACAGCCAGGTAACACCCCCCAGGCCAAACGACGAGCACACAACACCGTCACCTTACAGCCAGGTAACACCCCCCAGGCCAAACGACGAGCACACAACACCGTCACTTTACAGCCAGGTAACACCCCCCAGCCCAAACAACACCGTCACCTTACAGCCAGGTAACACCCCCCAGGCCAAACGACGAGCACACAACACCGTCACCTTTACAGCCAGGTAACACCCCCCAGCCCAAACAACACCGTCACCTTACAGCCAGGTAACACCCCCAGCCCAAACAACACCGTCACCTTACAGCCAGGTAACACCCCCAGGCCAAACGACGAGCACACAACACCGTCACCTTACAGCCAGGTAACACCCCCCAGCCCAAACGACGACCACACAACACCGTCACCTTACAGCCAGGTAACACCCCCCGGCCAAACGACGACCACACAACACCGTCACCTTACAGCCAGGTAACACCCCCCAGGCCAA